CAAAAATGAAGTTTATGTTGTGATGATAGTGGTGATGAAATGGTGATTGTGAGAGCTGTTACGATGGCGTAGAACGTGATGACGACGATGACGAGAATGATGACAAGAATGATGGTGAAAAAGATGACGACCGTGACATGCCATCTCAAATAACCGCGGACAGCTGTTGCGCTTGCTTTACGGTTCGAAAACTCGTAAACTACACGTGGAAACACGAGCTAGAGCACGTAAATTAGCGATATATATATATATATATATATATATATATATATATATATATGTGTGTGTGTGTGTGTGTATTTATATGTATGTGTGTGTGTGTTGTGTGTGTGTGTGTAAAAGTAAAAAAAGTTTAAAAATACATTTGAATGAACTGCAGTATTTGGCTAATTTTATGGAGGTTTGATAATGCTCTTCGTTTCTCAGTACGGGATGAATTTTTTTAACCTCTCCTGACGAACAGAATGAATGAATGGATAAATGAATAAAAGAATGAATGAGTAAATGAATGAATGAATGAATTAGTGAATGAATGATTAAATGACTAAACGAATGAATGAGTTAAATATATCAAGTCTTCAAAGTAGAATGATCGAAAGATTAGATATTAATGATGAAAAACAAAATTATGAATGAGTGAAATTATAACCAAAAAAAGATTCATGAATGAATTATAGATGACGTAACATCGAGAGAGATAGGCGTCGATGAATAAATGAGGAATTTGATAAACAAATTTGCTGACCTTAGGAGAGGACCATTTAAGGGCGGCTGCCAGCGACCTGATCTTTGGCTTGCTTGACAGTAGCGAGGAAAATTTTTAATTTTAAATGATGTAGACAAGTTATTTAATAGACAAGTGGCCTAATAGACAAGTGGTCTAATAGACAAGTGGTCTAAAAGACAAGCGGCCTAATGGACAAGTGGTCTAAAAGACAAGAGTGCTTAAATAGACAAATGACATAGACTAGAAAGAAAACAGTAACAGATGATTTACGTGGTCCAAATTTTTACTTGAACTCCTTCCATGTGTCTCGCATCACGACCATCGCAAGCAACCAGCATCCGGTCACCGTCTCAATTGAAGCCAGTTGTTTATAGAATGTTCCAAAAGCCAAAAACCAAATTACAACATATTTATATTTGTATGAATGTATATGCGTTTATGTGTGTTTGTGTATGTATGTATATGTGTGTGTGTGTGTGTGTGTGTGTGTTGTTATGGATATCGATTGCAAATTCCACAACAGTTTTAAAAGTGTTTTATTTTGAGAGTTAGTTAAATTAAATTATAGAAAGTTGAATTTGAATAATGATGGCTGGAGGATGGCGAGAATTATTTTCAAAGCAGTTTTTTTTTCAAATTTCTCTTCTTCAAGCGACGAAAAACACACTCGTTGATATTAAATTGAATTATGTTTCGATAATTCTTTGAAAACAAAAAAAAACTGACAACTTACTTTTATTGAGGAGATGAAAATATTGAAAAATATGATTAGGAGAGTTCAAAAAAGTCGTCAACAACGTCAACAATAACAAAAATAACAACATTAACAGCATCAACAGGATCAACAACATCAACAACATCTACAACAACATCAACAACAACATCAACTACATCTACAACAACATCATTAACAACAACATCCACAACAATCTCCACAACAATTAAACCAAAAACACTAAACACGAATTTAAATTGAAGAACAACGCAACAAAGAAACTTAAATATCGGACCCAAATACATGCATAGAGACAAAATAAAAGCAAAAACTTATTTTAACTTAAACTTTAACTTTAACCAAAATCTTCCCCCTCTACCTCCATCCGGATGTGACGTCATCCAACTTCCGGTGGGTGGGCCGATCCTGGTGGTAAACCACGCAGAAAAGGGGAATCACGGAGAATGATGATTTTTCCGTTCAATTTATATTTAGACAGAAAACAATAGAGATTACGCTGGCATTGTGACGTATGTAATGACGTATGTAATGACGTATGTAATGACGTATGTAATGACGTATGTAATGACGTATGTAATGACGTATGTAATGAATGGGACGCTATCTCACGTCTGCCACACCAGCTGCTACCCAAATGATGATTGCATATTTTACAGTGGACGATGAGCCTGATGGAGACCATGGTGACATTTCATAATAATGATAATAATAACAACAATAAGGATAATAATATTGATAATAGTGATGATAATAATATTGATACCACCACCACTACTACTACTTACTACTTACTACTACTACTACTACTACTACTACTACTACTACTACTACTACTACTACTACTACTACTACTACTACTACTACTACTACTACTACTACTACTACTACTACTACTACTACTACTACTACTACCAATATTAATAATAATGAGATAAAGAGGGAAAAAAAGAAAAAGAAGAAAATATAATAATAAAAGTAATAATAATAAAAATAAATATTACTATTATTATTATTATCATTTTTATGACAGCGTATTAATTAGGCAGGTGTCTTAAATTATCACTCATCATTATCATCGTCATCTACCACCATCACCATCATCATCATCATCATCTTCTAACATCATCATCATCTATCATCATCCATAATTAAATCTGCCCATCTTATCCCAACATCACGTGAATTAATTAATCAATAAATTGAAAAATTGAGAATTAATAAAACTATTTTCAAAATTAATTAATTAAAACGATAAATTAATGAAAAAATAATTATCTACAATTAAATATTTATGCCACATCAATGAAACAGACAATCGATCAAAATGTTTTTTGAGCCCGCTTGCTCGGCTGAATGAAGGAATGAGGGATGGGTTGAACGAACGAGAAAATGCTTTCATGGATGAATGAAATGAACGAATGAACAATATAATGACTCTGTGATTGATTGGTTAAATGGTTAATTGACTGAATGAGTGAGTGAGTGAGTGAGTGAGAGTGAGTGAGTGAGTGATTGACTGGTTGAGTGTTTGTTGGATGGAGTTGTACTGGTTAGGCGAGTGAATGAATGATCATAGTGAGCAGATCGGACTGAAATGTAAATTTCTTTCATAATTTTTATACTTAAGAGAATTTTTTTATTGAAATAATAATAGTAGTAACCATAAAAAATAATAAAAGTTATTATTATTATTATTACTAATGTCGTCATAATAGCTGTAAGTAAAAGAAACGAATAAAAACCAATGAAAAAAATAAAGATCTTCCAAAATATAAAAAACTCATAAATTTAATTAAACGTCACATAAACACTTTAAAACAATGGAGAAAAAAAACCATTAAGCAAAACCCCAAAAGACATACAAACAAAATAGTTAACATCTTATTATGCGCATCACACGAAACTCACACACACAAACACACACACACACACAAACACACACATACACACACATAAACACCACACACACACAAACAAACACACAAACACAAAAAAACCACACACATACATATATATACTACATATACAACAATATTTGAAAGAAAACCATGCAAACAAACGAACAATCAAACGAATGAACATTAAAACAAAATATATATTAAAACAAAAATTAAACACTATGCAGTATACCAAGACATACCATAAAACATTTAAAAACGTGAACATAAAATAGCGGCTTTCAATAACGTTTGAATTTGAAGGGATGGGAAAAAGAAATGAATTAACAAAAGAAAACATCACATATACACGCCACACACACATAAACACACACACACACATAAACACGCACACCACACGACACAACGGACATACAGAAGTTGTTTACATTGATGTTTGAATTTGAATTCAAACGAAAATAAACAAGCCATTGAAATTTTTCATCTAATGCCATCATCCATCAG